GGACATGGGGCCCCAAACAAATGGCGGCCATACATCATATACTCACTTTGGGGAACTGCACCCCCAAGCCCCAGCGTGGCCTATGGATCTACTCATCTACCCTAACGGTTGTGAGTAAATGATTACTATAAATCTAACTTAAATGATTACTATAAATCTAGCTTATAATCATTATAATTCATTATAATCATATAACACAGAGATTAAGTATAATGGCGTTAAAAATATAGATATAACCATAGCCTGGGATAACTATCACAACATCGTTTTAATGATAGAACACTCATAGCAACTCTAATGACTATAACTATAACATACTATAACTATGTAACTAACTGACTATCACAACTGGTTTGGACTACCCTCTGGTAATTTAACATAGCTATTGAAAATGGCCATTTATAGTGAGTATATAGTGGATTTTCCCATTAAAAATGGTGATTTTCAATAGTTATGTTAGTTTACCAGAGGGTAAACACAACCATCCCTTCTTTAGATCCCAGGCTCGGCACACATCCCACATTGACGCAGGTGCCACCGGGCCCGGCGCTCAGACGCTTGCCCTTCGCCGTGTCCCACTGGGCGCCACGTTCGATCAAGGCCACCTTGGCACCGTAGCCTCCACGTGGGGCCGGGGAGGGCATACGGGGATGGAAAACCAAGGTTTTACCCATGGATGAAGCGTGAAAATATAGGATTCTAAAGGTTCCTAAATGGGATAAGTCCTGTAACCATCTGTAACCAAGTTATACATCGTTTTTTAAGCCACTAACTGTTAAGGGCTAAGGATTGTTCAGAAAAGACAACTGGAAGCCATAAAGAACGATGGATTTACCGATTTACCCATGAAAACAACAGGACACATGGAGAAAATGAGGGATTGACATAAAAGAATCAAAACAAATTGTGATTTCAACGGACTTTGCATTTTTTCAGTGGTGATATAATGGGATACCCGTGATATTTAATGATATTCACCCACTTTGGAATATGTTTGGGGTATATGCTGGTAAAGGTTTCATGAAGGTGCTAAAATCCCATGTGAATGTTTTTTTACGCCAGTCAAATCACGAAAAAAATTGTCGCTCAAATCCCACTTGCGGTGTGTTGACTTTACGTTTTGCTAGTTTATCTTGTTTGGATCCCCATGTTTTTTTCTTTCATCTCATCTGATCTCGCCCTAGTTTGGTGTCATTTCTAGGGCATGTCCTTTGTATTGGTTAAACCACCAAGTGTCGGAAATAAAACAAAAAAGAAAACACACGGAGTTTACCCTCTGGTTATTTAACATAGCCATGGAAAATCGCCATTTTTAATAGGCAAACCATCTATAAATGGGGCCATTTTCCATGGCTATGTAAAATAACCAGAGGGTAAGGACACCTGGCAGCAGTTCTATTGCTACCCTCGCTTCGTGTGGCTCAATCCCCATAGTTCATCAACCTGCTGGTTCTTTGGGTCTGGTTGGTGGTGCAATGTGCCCATCTTGAAAAATGATGGACTTCGTCAATGGGGTTGGGATGACCCCATATATGGAAAATAAAACATGTTCCAAACCACCAACCAATATATAATTGGAGTAGTCCATAATCTTCATTTTGGTCGGTCACTGTTGCTCTTGGTATCAGCGCGAGTATGAGTACTGCTATTGGTATTACAGTATTAATGGTATGAATATTAATTAATATACCCTCTGGTACACTAAGATAGCTATGACAAATTACCACCTTTAATAGGTAAATCAACGAACTAAATTGCCATGTTCAATAACTATGGTCATTACCAGAGAGTACTCAAACTGCAAACCATTCACCAGAGATTTCATCATCATCATCATCATCTTCATCATCATCATCATCATCACCATCATCAATAATCATCAATAATCATCATCAATCACTATGACTATTGAGATTCTCCTCACCAGAGTGGCCAATGACATAGTCATCGGATAGTATAATGATGAATATTGATGATGATTATTGATGATTATTGATGATTATTGATGACTATTGAGAAATGACAGTGAACATCACCCACTCAAGGAGCAGTGGCCATTACCAGTTACGTCCAACCTCATCGAAATCACAGCCATCGCTGGGCTTGCCATCGCTGACTTCGTTTCAATCTGGGTTGGCTGACACCGTTAACAGCAACGCGAATCTTACCCGGCCTGGTTATGTCACAATAGCGAACTGGAAGATGGCCCAGTCGAAATAGTTGTTATTTACCTAGCTATAAAATGGTGGATCTTTCCATAGTGAATGCTAGTCGATCAGAGGGCAAATGGTTTCGACCCATCCAAACATTACCAATCACCTCATTTTCCCTTGCCAACTTGTTCCCCATCTTCGGCCAAAATATCCTGTGTCAAAAAAAGTCCCACGGGTTGGTTCGTTGTCCAAAAATCACCATCTCCCCATCTTCCTCGGCCTGCAGCTCGTTTGGAGAAAGCGCTTCCACCACTGCCACCACCGATGACGATCGCGTCGTACATCATGGCAAGTTTCTTGGTTCGATTCGCACAGAGAGGATCGGTTCAAAGGCAATGGAGTCACAAAGAAAGGGCATGGTGCATTTCAGATCCAGTTTTTTGAATCAAGTCCTGATTTTTGATGTAAGCCGAAGAATAGTTTTTGCATGTTGATTTGGTCTTGCCGTTCTGATTTTGTGTTTCCGGCACAGCTGAGCAAAAGCTGGTGCAACGGCGGGCCAACCCACCAGAAGCATGTAATTTCTGCAATGTTGTGGCTGAATCATGAAAATATATGAAAACGTTGTCATTTGGGTTTACCCTCTGGTAAACATACAAAAAGCTATTGAAAATGGCCCAGTCGAAATAGTGGATTTTCCCATTAAAAATGGTGGATCTTTCCATAGCTTATTAAACATTTACCAGAGGGTATAAACCTTCAAGCATCGTGGATTATCCTTGGAAATGCACCTTGGGAGTCAAATCTTGGATGGCTTTTTGAAGGATGGAAACGACACATCTGCATCACAAAAAAGCTACGCTAGCCGCTAGACCCTCCATTGACCAATAACAATTGTGTGTGGACCCCATCATTTGTTAATACATACATACATGTTAATGTTTGTGTGTCCACCATTCATTTAGTATCACCAATAACAATTGTGTGAATACCTCATCAAATACATTTTTCACTTTTCTTTTGAAGGGTATTTGGAGGGTTTAGTTAATCTCCCATGATTGTCTGACCACCTTTGGTCATGCGTTGCTGGTTGCTGGTTGGTCAGTCTTCCGAGACGACCCTTTCTCGTTCACAAGGCAATCTCTGCTGACCAGTTAACTATGGCCTCTGGTGATTGAAACATAAAACTACAGTTATATGGGTTATGATGGGTTGGTAGATCATTTATGATGGCTTAGATGGGCTACGGCTAATAGACCAACTATGACCAACTTATAGTTATTTATAATTGGGAGCTATCGCCTTAGGGGATTTAACAGTATTTCCCATAATGGATGACGACAATCCCCAGTGTATTGAGTAGTATGACACCCGAACTACTCATTAACCGAACATAATTTATCACTTGAATCCAAAAAATTATCTAATGTTGTTTGATGTTTTTTTAATGGTGACGATTTGCAACCCAAATGATTATTCTATCACCAGTCCCAGAAATTCGAAGACTCCGGTCATTTAACGTAGCGAACTGCAAAATCACCATTTAGTACAGTAGGTAAATCATTATGTTTATCATTCAACTTTATGGTCCATCTATAGCAAAGCAAACTGTAACAAATAATCGGGAAAAAAAACTACTATCCCATTCTTCTGCATTACATTCCGATGAAAATATATCTTATTGTCGATTTCTAGACCCCGAGCTAGTTATAAAACAAACAACGAGAGGGTAAATCCTACTTATCAAAAAAAAATCCCCGTAAATTTTTGTGGTTGGTGAAACCAACCTTTTTCCTTAAATCACAATGCAGTTCTACTCATGTTTGCACCGCGATAAATGTCACAAGCTCGTGCCTGGTCCACACGTTTGGCCAAGGGGGCATCCAGATTGAAACCACCCACCGTAGCGTGGCCATTCCTGCAAATTTCTCCAAGGGAAATGGGAAGTTTTCATGATGATATTCATGATAGTATGGGAGGGAAAAAAACATATGATTTCTAGAATATATATAGTACATATGGATGATTTGGTGAGATTGTTACAATATCATGATTTGTTGGAAGAAACATGCGGATTCCCAGATAAAAAAATGATTCATCACGACTCATCCAGTAAAGATCAGGATATTTAGCCAGTAAAGACGGGTTTAAACAAAAACCGAGGATCAAACTGCACGTGCTACGCGTGCGTGTCTAAAAAAACTCTGAAATCACAGGGTTTCAATAGCCGAAGGACTTGGATGAACCCGCAAAAGAAATAAAATATACCCTCTGGTAAACATACAAAACACGATGGAACATCGCAATTTTTTATGGGTAAACCATAAACGGATATAAATGGGCAATGTTCAATAGCAAACTGTTAGTTTACCAAAGGGTATTCCCTCTAGAACCCACATGTAGTGGATTTCTCATTGAAATCCACTGAAAGCTGAAACATCTTCAGCGAATCCAGGAACAAAGTTTCCTCTGACCATGCCCAAGAGTTCAACATGTTGATCAACCAGTGAAGTTCTCCCATTATATAAATTATACCCGGCATATTGATTGATGATATCTCCACTATATCCCCATCATATCCCCATGAAATGGTTGCTAAGTGTGTTGATATCGCCATTTTCCCCACTTGTTTGTTGGTTGTAAACACCATTTACATCCATTAACTCATTAACCAGTTCGATAAACCCAACAGTGATACCAGTTACCCTCTGGTAAACTAACATACCAATGGAAAATCACCATTTTCAATGGGAAAATCCACTATAAATGGTCATTTTCAATAGCTATGTTAGTTTACCAGAGGGTATAAACCATCTTAGCTAACTAATACTAGTAGTCATAAATTCGTTATCGGCGCATCGAATCACAGCAAACACGCTGAGCGCATGACGAGAACTTGGCAGTCACACGCATGACTGCTGTCACCTGGCAGTCAAAAGGAGTCCACGGAAGGGTGCATGTCCCAACTGGTACCCTGAATGGTAAACCACATGTCTGTTGGTTAATCCCCATATTAATCCATATTAATCCAAATGTTTATATTTGTGAAAGGCATTATTAAAATATTTGGTAACTTGTATAATATATATATATACAATTATTCTGAGCAACAATGATGGGGATATAATGGGGATGGTTCAACCAAATAACCCAATCTAACCAGGGATTTTGCCAACACCAGTGGTGATGCTAATCCAATATGGATAGTTTGTTGCGGATTGAAGCCAATACAACTGGGGATATAATCGGGGTAACCATGGGTTGTGCCCCAGGTTGTTAGTTAAGTTGGTTTCTTTCACGACATGACTGTTGCGTTTATGGTAGATATATCGAACAAGGAGCACGGCCTCTAGATGGCCGTGTTTTTTTTGATCAGTGGGATGTTGTTGATCATGTTTGATGTGCTCGTGCCGCCAAAAAGAATTTGTGCGATTTTATTTTTAAGGTCGTTAACCCCTTATTCACAAGCAGTAGAACGAAAACAGTCATTTCGCCTACACAAAACTACCATTTTTGTGTTTTCTGGCCAACCGGAAACTAATTCGTCGTCACATGTTTTTAGCCGTCTTTTGGTCAGAGCAGCACCTCCAGTTCTTCCAAGAACCTTTTAGGATCTGGACTCTGTAAGCTTGAACGCCAGCACACATGAACACATAGTAGCATGACCCATGAGTGCAAAGTTCAATAGAACATACGATAGCGTAGCATGACACATCAGTGCAAAGCACAAGAGAACATACAGTAGCGTAGCATGACGCATGAGTGCAAAGCACAAGAGAACATAGAGTAGCGTAGCATGACCTATGAAAGAGAGAGCCATGGACGTTATTACCCCACCCCACCCCACCCCCCCAACGTCAACAAAAGACCACGGCCGTCTAAAGGCCGTGCGTGGTCCAACTAGTTGATGGGGTTTATCAACCAACATAACTGGACGGAAGCACCTTGTGGCAACGGACTCATGTATGGACGATGATGTTCCCAGAAAGGTGAACACCAGCCAGAATTTTCATGCACAGAGAAACTGACGTGGTGAGGTCTTTAAGACAAATTCATCCAAATGGTTACCTGAACCGCATATCATTTAAAACAACCAAGGAAAGGGGAACTTTGCTGGGTTAGTCGCCACGCCACTTACTAGGATTTGCATCCAAATGCAACTTGGTTTGTTTGGTTTGTTGCACACTTCATTTTTTGGGGGGTTGACGCATCAACCAAGCCGTCCACGGTAGTACAGTTCAGTTCAAGACGTGTCGTCACTTCAGTTCTTAAGGTAGCTGTGACTCCTATGATGGCGCCAGTCCTCGGATGACATGATCTGTGATATCCCAATTTGTTTGGACATACTGTATATATATATACATATATATATGTAGGTTTTTACATATATATATATATACTGTATATATATGTATATATATATACATGTATATATATATATATACTGTATGTATATATATATACTGTATGTATATATATATATATACTGTATATACTTCCGACCTGTGTAGTTCGTGTTTGTTCAAATAATTATCCATGTCCTCGTCGTCTTTTGGCTGTGAAACATCCCCAGTTTTCATGGGACTTGTTGTCCCATCATGTTTTTCTGTTCCAGCAGTAGGGAAGTCCAACAAGAACCACCAAGCAGTTGATACAGAGTCACAAAAAAAACATGAACAACAATCAGAGGTGTGCCGGTGCAAATGCTAGACCAACCAACTTTTGATACTGAAAATTAATATCAAGTGTCGACTCTATCCAGGAGTAGATATTGAATTTTAATCTGGACCACAAGCAAACAAAATAACATGTAACATCAAGTAAACAATGAACAACATTTCAAACTGGCAAATTTTCTATCTACTCCAATCATATAATCATGTTCTTTTGGGACACATGAAGAGGGGCCAGTTGAGCAAAGCATTCACGATAATTTACCAATTTCTTTCAATGGACTCTAGCCCTTCTAGTCACCAACCAACGACTGGGCCAAGGGTTTTTATGCGTTGTATCCCCAAAAAATGTCAGGTGGGTTAGATACCAATTTTAATGGTTTCAATCTCCCATTTTGAGACTCACAAATCTCACAGGCTATCGCAAGACATCTGGGTGTGTCCGAAAAAAACAGACAAAAACCATCTACATCTGTTGCCACTTGAATAACCATTCATGTCGGACTCTGACAACAAATCATCAACATGTGGCATATTATATATATATGGTATAAATATGGGAAATCCATGGACCATTCGAAAAAAACAAAAAGAAAAAACATGGAATCAGAATCAATATTGTACATTGAAATCAATATATATATATATATATGTTTTCCCATATTTTCCCATAG